AACCGTACGTTCAAGAACCGGTCCTTCTGTAACAAGACGTTCTTGAACTAACAAATTCGCAACCGGACGTTCCAGAACCGGACGTTCTAGAACCGGTCCTTCTGTAACAGGTCGTTCTTGAACTAACAAATTCGCAACCGGACGTTCCAGAACCGGACGTTCCAGAACCGGTCCTTCTGTAACAGGTCGTTCTTGAACTAACAAATTCGCAACCGGACGTTCCAGAACCGGACGTTCCAGAACCGGTCCTTCTGTAACAGGTCGTTCTTGAACTAACAAATTCGCAACCGGACGTTCCAGAACCGGACGTTCCAGAACCGGTCCTTCTGTAACAGGTCGTTCTTGAACTAACAAATTCGCAACCGGACGTTCCAGAACCGGACGTTCCAGAACCGGTCCTTCTGTAACAGGTCGTTCTTGAACTAACAAATTCGCAACCGGACGTTCCAGAACCGGACGTTCCAGAACCGGTCCTTCTGTAACAGGTCGTTCTTGAACTAACAAATTCGCAACCGGACGTTCCAGAACCGGACGTTCTAGAACCGGTTTTTCTGTAACTTGACATTCTAGAACTGTTCATTTTGCTACCTGACGTTTTACAACTGGACGTTCTAGAATCGTTAATTTGTGCAACCGTACGTTTTAGAACAGGCAGTTTCGTGACCGGACATTTATTAACCTTTCTAAAACGTCCAGTTGTCAAATGAACAGTCCTCAAATATCCGGTTGCCAAACGGACAGTTCTAAACTGTCCGGTTGCCGAATGGGTAGATCTAAAATGTCCCTTCGACTCACCTCCGGCAGCAATTCCTCAGCTCTCAAAGAAATTCGAAAAACATTTGCGAATTTCTCCAAAACGTTCTCTTTCTCCTCATCTGGGGTCAATTTCCAGAACTTTCGTAATCCTTGAAGTGTTTCGAATTTTTCCGAAATTCTAGAATCATCATTTAGAATATCTAAAATCGTTGATTCCAGTAGATCAAATCCTTCCGTTTTGTATTCTTTTAGAAAATTCTCAATTCGAGATTTATTGGAAGAATAGCAGGGATTCGGGGTGCCATTCTGAAAAAAAAATTATGGCTTTTTTTAAAGTTGTATGGATTACTGTCACTATTACTATTCCTTAAAAACGACAGAAAACTTTCAAACTTTTCAGCTACTGCCGAAAAATTTCGAACTTTCTCAAAATTAAGCAAAGATAGTCACGTTTGAGCTCATTTTGAAGCTCAAAACTTGAGAATCCTAATTTTTGCTAAAATTTTGAGTTTAGCACACTGAGAGCTTCAAAATAAGCCCAAACACGCCATGATTCGGTGAGATTCGGAATTTCGGGTGCGTCGCAGTCGTGCGTCGCGTGTTTTGTGCGAAAATTCAAAGTTAACCGATTTGTAGCTTGTTTGGGCTCATTTTGAAGCTCACAGTCTCACAAATCCGATAGTTTTATTGTTGTGTTAAGTGGGACAATTTAAAGGGTTTTATGGTAAATATAAAGATTACTGTAATTAGCAAAATTATTGAAAAATAACAGACGTTCCTGTTTTTTTTTTAGGAAATAAAAAATCTTAATTTTTGAATTTTTTAGAAAATGTTTATTTTGAAATCGTCAAAAAATTTTAATTCTCTCATTTATATTCAATTAAGCCAAAAATAACAATTCTTAAAATTAGAATTTTTTTGAAAAACTTCAAATTTAAACATTTCAACGAATGGTATGAACATATCGAAGAATTTCAGAGAAGGTTAACTTTTTGCTGAAAATTTGAAACAGCAGTTTTTTGAATGAATATTTTGTATTTTCAAAATGAGTTTTCAACCTTTTCAGAATTTTTAGAATATTCGAATTTCTTCGAGAAATTCAATTTTTATACAATTCATGAGTTTAAAAAACGCCTAAAATGACGGTTTTCATAGAAATCTAATTCGATTCTGTTAGAGATATTCGAATTCTAGAAAAATCCCAATATTGAAAATATTCAAAGTTTGAAACAGTTTAATTGTTTTCAGTTTGTTTTAAGTTGTCATGTTTGAGCTCATTTTGAAGCTTAAAAACTGCGAATTTTGCTTGTTTATATGAAAATCTGAATTCAACTCATTGAGAGCTTCAAAATAAGCCCAAACACGCCATGATTCGGTGAGATTCGGAATTTCGGGCGCGTCGCGGTCGTGCGTCGCGTGTTTTGGGCGAAACATCAAAATCAACAGATTTGGGCTTTGTTTGGGCTCATTTTGAAGCTCACAACCTCACAAGTATGAAAAAATGTTTTTGTGGTGGTTAGGACACTTTGAAGCGATTTATGGTCCAAGTAAATTTGCCCCTGAAATTTTTGAAATTTTTCTAGTCGTGTTTTAAGCTTATTTTGAAGCACTCAAAGTCAGAAATTCAAACTGTTGTTTTGAAAATTGTAAATTTAAAGTTGTGAGCAATTTGGAAGGTCCACAAGGTGTCTTTCAAAAAGAATAAAGATGTTTTTTTGCTGTTTCAAAGTTTGCTTTTCCAAAAATCATCAAATATTTGTCTATTACGTTCCCTCTCCATCCCAAAATTAATTAATTAATCGACTGTGAATTTTCCCCTATTTTCAGATGAAAACAATTTTCTTTGTTTTCACAAAATCCTTTATTATACTTCGACTTTCTGGAATTTTTAAACTTTTTTGGAATTTTCAATTTTCCAAAAATCAATTTCTCTGTTTCAAAACTTTGTCTCGAATTTTTTAAATGTTAAAGTTTTGATAAGTGAAAACCAATGAATTCTGGTTTTTGAAATTTTCCTGACAAGGGAACATTTTAAGTCGATAAGCTGATTCGCATAAACTAACCGTAGAGAATGAAAGAGCGTGTTTCAAAACCTATAAAACTGTTTTCAAAGTCTGCTTACGAAACCTCTAAAGTGCTGAAATTTCAGTTTCAGTACCAAAAATTGGCCTTTTCAGTGCAAAATTTGCTATTTTCAAATTCGATTGTTTCCACTCCTAGAAGGTTTCCGAACATGTACTGTACTTGAAATTAGGTGTATTTTCATATTTCGGCATTTTTTCGCAAAAAAAATTTTTGTTGAAAAATTTCGAGAAATTTCGTACCCTTTGGGTTGGATGATTTTCTCGAATTATTGCCTTTTGTAAAAAATGTTCTGAAAAAATGAAGGTTATGTTTCAAAAATGTTATGAAACATCAAAACATAATACACTTCTCAATTTTATACTTATCCAATTTCAACCAGAGTCCACATATACCTGAATACAATACTTCAAAACTGCTTTCATTTCAATAACTCTAATGACTTGAATATTTTTTCGAAATTTTTGAAATTTTTTTTTTTTAATTTTGTCTCTACATTCTTGAAGTTGTTTAAAAAAAAGAAAACAAACTGACTTCAGGCTGTTGTAATACTGCAAAACCAAAAAAAAAAGAGAAAAAATTAGTAAGCCTAGGAGGGGGTCGTCGAACCATCATACCCCCCATCTCCTCATACTTGTAACGGGCCGAGCCGGGCTTTTTCCCGAATTTCGGAGGCCCGGCCCGGCGGGCCTGTCATTCCACAAGTTTTGAAAATTTCAAAAAACATATAAGGGGGGACCCTTATGTGATTTTCTTCGATCAAAAAATTTTTTTCGAGTTTTTTTTTTGAAATTTTTTGATTAAACAGACAAACAATCCAAAAAGCACAAAAAAAAAATAGAGAATTGTATTGAGAGCTCAAAATTCGGCTCAAAATGACAAAATTTTTGCTACCGGGCCTTGAAATTTTCCTCAGGCCCGGCCCGGAATTTTACAAGTATGCATCTCCTATCCCAACCACTACCCGCTTGCGCCACCAATCCATTTTTTGAAGAGGGATATAAGCGCAGTGATAAAATGCCTGATTTTCCGCGTGTGAAAAAGAGAAATCAATGATAAATTTTGGGCAAAATTAGGACTGGAATTTCAGCACTTTAGAGGTTTCGTAAGCAGATTTTGAAAACGGTTTTATAGGTTTTGAAACACGCTCTTTCATTCTCTACGGTTGGTTTATGCGAATCAGCTTATCGACTCAAGATGTTCCCTTGTGAATATTTAAAATTTCCAAAAATTATCACTGTTTCAAAAAAATTGCCTAATTTTCTAAACTTTGAATTGTCCGTAGCATTCAATTTGTCTTATAAAAATGATGTTTTTTTTCTGATTTTTGAAATTTTGAAAATTTCTTGCTTTTCAAAATTGAACAAAAGTAAACATGTTTGAGCTCATTTTGAAGCTTAAAAACTGCGAATTTTGCTTGTTTATATGGAAATCTGAATTTAGCGCATTGAGAGCTTAAAAATTAGCCTAAACACGCATTGATTCGGGGAGATTCAAAATTTCAGGTGCGTCGCGGTTGTGCGTCGCGTGTTTTGGGCGAAAAATGAAAGTTAGCCGATTTGCATCGTGTTTGGGCTTATTTTGAAGCTCACAATCTCAAAAATCTTTAAATTTGGGTTTCGTGCCGGTTGGGACATTTTGAAGCATTTTATGGGTCAAACAAACTTTGTTAAGCGGTCTCCATTTTTGTGATAAAACCAATTCCTTTTCAGAGTTTTCTCGGTAAACTGAAAAAAATTTTTTTGAAATTTTTTTGAATTAAAAACCCACAATGGTGCTGCTCCTGCATCCCTAAAACTGAACAATATCTATAGTGTTTCGATGGGTCCACATTTCGAAAATCCGGTTGAAATTTCAAATTTCGAGAGTTGAAAACTTCCAAAAGCTTGGATAATTCTTCAGAAGACGTACACATTATTCAGAGATTCTAAGATCTAAAAAAAGATAAATTCAAAAAATGTATTAGGTCAATTAAACCAAAAAAAATCCAAAAAATCCAAAAAAAAATTTTTTGAAACAGAAATTTTCAAAAATTCACATTTTTGAGCAAAAATAAGAATTATTTATATTCCTTTTCTT